ACCACCAGGAGTGATTCCTGAGTACATGAACCAGGAGTAATTCCTGTGCATCACCAGGTGTGACTGCCCCCCCCCGTACCCCCAAAAAAGCAAAACAATGTCTCCTGGGAAGGGATTAGGGGTGGGGAATTGAGACGAAAGTGACTTCAGACTGTGCTTTTGTATCATCTACACTTTCTTTGAGGTGGGGTTCCCAAACAGTGCTCTGGGATAGGGCCGGGGGACACTTCTGATACTACTGTCTGCAGGGTTAGAATCTTCTACGCTAAAACCAAAGGACGCAGAGCTCATGCCTTTGGTGCAGGACTGGTCAGTGGACACCAGAGTCAAACCTGGTGTTTTTCAGAGGCTTCAGGGCTGTACCTGGAGATGCTCGAGGGGCCATTTGGTGCTGGCTATGGACCTGGGAGTCATGCACCCCTAACACCTATGCTATCTTTGCAGCCCCTCATTTGCATTTTGATGGATTTATCTACTGAGCATATATGCATAAGCATTAATTTTAAAATATTGATATGAGAGTGATGCTCCTTGCTCTGCACTCAGGAATTACTCCTGGCAGTGTTCGAAGAACCAAATCGGATACCTGGGATTGAACCTAGGCCGGCCACATGCAAGGCAAGTTCCCTACCTGCTGTACTACCTCTCTGGTCCCTTTTTAAAAATATTGATTTTTGACAATAGTGGGAACCTTGGAATATAGATCTAACATATGAAAAGAAACCTCACCAGTTTTTTATTTTGGGGCCACATTGAGCTGTGCTCAGGATGTGGGTGATCAAACCCCAAAAGATTATATGAAAGGCAAGTGCCCTGCCTGCCATCCTATTGCTCTAGTTTATCTCACCAGTTTTCTGCTGCCTGACACACTGGTGTTTTGTCCAGGTTGCCATTTGACCAAGTTAAACATTCCAAAGAAAACGTGTGTGCATATAAGCCGCTTAGAGGAAACCCACAACACCATAGGCGTTTATGAAAACAAGGGGATATTCTGGCCTTTAGCTAACGTGGGAAATACTTTTCAGCTGTCAAAATTCTCCAGATAAGGTTTCAACAAATGCCTACGGCAGTTTCATTTCATACAATAGACACTGTTGAAACAGGTGCCCACAGCTGCATTTGGCTTCAGGGTTTTTGTGTTTCTTGTAGAACTCACTTTTATAGGGTTTTAAACCTGAGTTGATCCACTCTGTAGCAAATATTTGGAATTTGAAACCTGAACTTGGGAGTTTTGTCATAGACTTTTTAAACAGTTGGTGTTTTTTTGGTTCTTTTGTTGCTGTTGTTTCTTAGGTCACAATCAGTGGCGTGTTCAGGGATTACTCCTTGCTCTGTAATCAGGGATCACTCCTAGCCTTGCTTTGGGAACCATATGTAGTGCTGGGGATCAATCACATACAAGGCTCTACCCACTGCACTATCTCTCTGGCCCTGCAGATTCAAAAATCTTTATAGACTCACAGGTAGCTGTCAGACAAAATAGAGCTCTGTATTTTCCCTGCATTAGTGACTGACTTCCTGGGAAACTACATATAGAGCAGTATCACTACAAGGATTCTGACATTGATAGAATCTCATCTCATGGCCAGTGTTCTTAGTGGCCAGTGTTCTTAGTTCTATTAACTCTATCACATGTAGGCTCGTGTACATCTGGCATCCGTCAAGATATTGCAAAGTTCTTTTGGTTTGGTTTTGTGCCACATCAATGGTACTTGCAGGCTGCTCCTAGCTCTCTGCTCAAGGATCATTCCTGGCAGTGCGTGGCCTCATACATGCTTGGCATGCACTCACTCAGTTGAACTAGACCTCTGGCTCCTATCGTAATGTTTTTGCTTGTTTATTTTTGTGCATGGGGTCGGGTGAGCAGGGTTAGGGCCAAGTCCAATGGTGCTGATGTGTCACTCCTGGCTCTGTTCTTAGAAATCACTATCAGCAGCACTAGGGGGACCATGAGCAGTAACAGGGGTTGAACTGGGGTCTACTGCATGCAAGACGAATGTCTGTCTCTGCAAAGTTGTTTTATTTTGCTTTTAGCGATGATCAGGGGTTACTCCTGGCTCTGTATTCAGGAAATACTCCTGGTGGTGTTTTGGGGAACCATATGTAATGATGGGAACAAACCTGAGTTGGCCCTGTGCAAGGCAAAGAAACAGATAAGCAGCAAGAATACTTGTTTGAGGGAGAAGATGGGACTGAAGAACAAGCTGACACGGGGAATTCTGAACAAAGGCAGGATTCTCCTTCCTCTTATTAAATGCCAGCTATAGGCAGTTCTTGATACTTGATACAGTAACTTTTACCATGTAACTACTCCCCAAATTAGCTGTTTAAGCTTAATTTTTCACTTTGTTGCTTCTTAGAGGGTGCTGGGGAGCAATAGCTCAAAAGGCTAATGTGTAGACTTGGCATGTGGGAGGCCTGGTTAGATCCCCAGAACTGCATGGTCCCCTGAGCACAACATGGAATAATGTTCCTGAGCTCTACCAGGTGTGGTTCCCAAAGCAAAAACAGAGTTGGTAGGCTAGAAAGTACAGCAGGTACCCAGCTGCTCTGGGTTTGATATCCTTGGCATCACATATTGGTCCCTTGAGCACTGCGGGTAATTTTTTCTTAAGTGGAGATAGAAGTATGTCCTGGGCGCCACTGGGTGTGGCCCAAAATATGAAAAAAGTAGGTGAGGGAGTGAGAGTGTAGAAAATCTTGGGACACAATCCTGCCCAGTTCTAGAAGAGCAAGGGAAATGTAGTGAGCTAAGAGAACAGGAGAGATACCTGAAGATTAATAATGTAAACTGGCTTGAAACTAAAAAGGGGAACTGGTGAAAGACCCCTTTATTCCCTGACAGAAAGCTCCAGAAACGTGCATGCAGTAGGAGCCATTGGTAACATGCACATGCACATTCTAACCTGGCAAACTGTCAGGAAGTCCAGAGGGACCAAAGAGATAGAGGAAATATGTAACCCTCAGACTACACAACTAAAAACAATCTAGAAATATCTTATCTAGAAAGAAAAAAATACCACTCATTCAGGGGGAAAAGTGGCCAAAAGTATTGCCACAGCCTTAAACAGGAAAACTTATAGCAACTGTTGTCAAAGATAGCCAAATATTTCCAATACTTAACAGAGCTTCAATCCCCAACATGCTCATTCTATTTTTTTTTTGGGGGGGTGGTCATACCCGGCAATGCACAGGGGACCATATGGGATGCAGGAATTGAAAGGCAAACGTCCTACCTGCTGTGCTATCGCTCCAGCCCCTCTTCTAGATATTCTTTAACTTACTGAGAATACCTGACAGGTGTATATATATACCCCCCCCCCCATTTTAATTTTTTTTTTATAAGTGAATGATGGGTCTCATTTCCTAAAGAGCCTTGAATATAATCTCAGGGCTAGGATGAAAGAGACGTTACTGGGGCCTGCTCGAGGCAATCGACGAATAACAGGATGATGAATGAATGAATGAATGAAGTGAAACACCATGAGGTACAGTTGTAGACTTGTTTGGGTTTCAGTCATCCACCAGTGCCCATTCTCCACCACCCATCCTTCCACCAGTGCCCATTCTCCACCACCAATGATCCCAGTAGCCCTCCCACCCTCACCCCACCCCTGTGGCAGGGCATTCTCTTTTGCTCACTCTTTACTTTAGGGTATTGTAGTTTGCAATAGAGGTATTGAGTGGCTATTGTGTTTGGTCTATAGTCTACATTCAGCACGCATCTGGCATCCCGAGCGATTCCTCCAAACATCCTTTACTTGGTGTTCCCTTCTCTATCTGAGCTGCCTTTTCCCCCAACAGGTGAGGCCAGCTTCCAAGCCCTGGAGCAGACCTCCTGGTACTTATCTCAACTATTCTTGGGTGTTCAACTCCCATTCTGTTACTTTATGTTCCCCAAATGAATGCAGTCTATGTCTGACAGGTTTATATTGATTCTGTCATAAACACCACTTACTAAGAACTGCTTCTCTCAGTTAGTGTCCAGATCGGAGATTTGTACTAACTGGGCGTAAGGAAGTTAGTGAAACAGCTTTAGGGTAGTCCTTACGCAACCTATTTTCAACCAAAGGTTGTTCTAGAAAATAGTTGCTGCATTCCAAGCAATACGCTTTTTAAATAAAACCTCAAGACTACCCAGGTGTCTTCTGCATCAGTGTTATCTTTAAGATACGAATACCAGCACACACTTTCTGAACATCCTAATTTAACAGCTCTACCCCCAAATGTCAACCTAAAAATACACCACCTTATTATCATCTCTAGGTACTATTTTTCATAAAATCAAAATGGTATTGGAATTTCATTACTTTTTTATTTTCCAAGTCTTTGAATCTCAATCAGGGTTGATTAAAAAAATGGTTGATTGGGTACACTGAATCTGCTTAGAATACCATGGAATTAAGGATATCCTAATGTTAGTGCAGGCTTTTCTATCTTACAGGATTTCTCTCTCTTGCTGTTTTGAAAAAGATAAAGGTTCATGTTCATTCTATATATTATAGTTGTGACCTCAATACATGCTCCACTATTACCAGGTGTGTTCCACAAAGAGCAAAAAACCCAAAGGAATTAACCTGAAGCCAAACTCAACAAATATGTTGAACTGTAAATTGAGGGTGTGAACTCTCAAGTTTTAGAAGGTATGAGGGGTGTCTTTTTGAGACTACATGGATAGAGATTGCCCAGCTTGTCTGGTCAAACCCAGGCACCTCACTTGTGCTCCCATCCCTGTTGCCCAGCTTGAGCAATGTCACTTTAAACATTTCAGCCCTCAGAAACGGACAGTCCTGTTTTCGTCATAAGATTCCGGTACCAAAACTTCCCAATGAATAGTACCTTAAAAAATGAAACAAATCATATGACCAGGGGAATAAATGCAACATACAAGGAAAAAGCAAAGAAGGGGTTGAACAAAATCTAACACCTATTCATGAGAAAAACTAAAATGCTGTAAAACAAAAGACTGTGTCAAAGGTATCTATCTAGGCACTAGACAATTAAGTATGCAAACTTTTATTGAAGCTTAAATTGTGGTACAGAAATACATTTCAACTGATTTAAGTCCAACACCACGAAGAGAGAATTTATGGCACCAAAAATTTCCCTCCTCTATGTACATAACCATACTAGGATTTAGATTACTATTCAATCTATAGTTTTCATTCTTCTAAGCTTTGTTCCATAAAAATTTGTGTAATCTTAGTATTAGATATAAATCTTAACTCTATTAGAGAAAAAAAAGATCAGACCTCAAAGCCCACAAATGTCATCAATTCAGCTGGGATACTGTTCAAGAACAAAAATCCACTTTCAACATTGGTCCTCAGAACAGTACCAAAACCCTAGGTACCGTGAACTTGTACAAATCAATCTCCCTTATTGATCAAAAGCTTCTTCAATGAAACTTTCCATCAACAACTTTAAAAAAAATGTCCAAAGTGTTCCCACCACTTGATTTCAAACCAAGTAGATTTCATGCTTAGAAACACTCAAAAAAGTGTTTCATTAAAAAATACGGAAGGAACCAAAATACCATTACATCAAATCCAGAAACAAAAATTTTTTTGAGGACAAGATATACAAACTTCAGTCAACCTTGCTATTTTCTCAACTGTTTTTATCTTATTATTTGCAAAAATAGTTAAATGCATATTAAGATCCAGCTCTTGAAACTCTGCATTTCTAGTTATTTCCCATTGAACACTTGGAATTTTTTGTTTTGGTTTATGAATAGCATTTGGGTTCACTGTGTATGTATGAATAACCTCAACAATTCTCATTCACTTAATCCTATGACGACATGGTGAAGATAGGAACAGAAAGTCAGAACACTATCACATGAATCATAAAGTCAGAACAGTCACAAGATGACAAAGACAATGATTCTGCTTTAATCCAAGCTTACACTATGTTACTAATAGAAATTTGTGGAAATGTCTGCTAAGTAATATGGATAATGATCTGAGTTGAATTATTAAATCCAGGTATAACCTCTCTTAATCTCCCTGCTTAATGACAAAAAAAATTTATTACGACTTAGGAAGTCAGAAAGGGAATGGTATCCATGAAAGCTAGTTTCATTTACTGGTGAGCAAAGAATGGCATGTTTCCACACAGCTCTCCCAGTATAAATGAAAATCAAGCACCCTACCCACTGTACTATCACTCCAGCCCCTGTAAGAGCTCGTGCTGATTAATAAGGTCAAAATCTCTCGACCATGAAAATGAAGTCTAGGGTCTGACCCTTCCCCATCCTGGGGTGTAAGATTAGTATAAACCCACAGTGTAATAGTGTATTGCTTTATTGGGGTGGATGGGGTGGGAGGAGGGTAGGAGACAAGGTGGTTGGGAGAACAGTCAATTAAGGGAATACAAATGTAGGAAGCAATGTTAAAATAGTAATACACAACAGACGGCAATCAATTTTCTTAAGAGGACTCGACTCATGGAAGAAAACTTTTAATTGCTGTTGCAAAAACATCTGTATGAAGTAGAAATTGATTTCAATAATATTAGTAGAGAATATGTTTTAGAAAGTGGAGGTAACGGGATGTAAAAATCCTGGCAGCAATTTAATAGAACAGTCCCAGACAGTTAGGCTGAGGCCAACACCTAATGAGGACGAAAGCCTTGTCTGTGGGGGATTTTGGGTGATACCTGGAGAAATATTACGCTGTGCGTAAACCAAATTGAATTGTTTTCACAAGTGTTGTAATGTTTTATATAGTAAAAGTTTTTTTCTACATGCACTTCAATTTCACAGCAAGAGTGGCATAGGATACCTAAACACAGAAGAGAGCATTCATGCAAGATACCTAACTCCTTGATATAATAATGCATACAATTCAAAATGATTACACTATCTTTACATCTAGGGCTTTCTGCAACTATGAGGTGGTGATTATGGAAAGCATGGCCCCCGGTATCAACATCTAAAAAGCAGCTACCACCTTCAATGTGTGTTCTCTTTTTGCGTTTTTTCTTCATTTTTCTTAATCAACTCTGCTGTTGTTGCTGCTTTTTAGCGAAACTGGTAAAAACAAAATTGTAATCATTAAACATAGCACTCTGGCAATCAAGACGTTTAAAACCTTCAATCTTCTGGGGCGAAGAAAGCACTGCACGACATTTAGAACTCTGAAAGAAAATAAACAATGTTTCCAGTATGCAGAAGTAACAAAACAGTCATGACAATAAAGAATTAAAACTACTAATTTAATGGAAACTGGGGTACTTGTATTCTTCAGCTGCTTTGAATATGGGCAAGTTGGAGAGTGAAATTTTACAGATTTCAGACTGTTGTCAGGGGAAAGAGGATAGACAGGATAGAAAAACTCCAAAAGGACATCAGTAAGAGTAATTGCCCAGCACATACATACGAGTCCTGCTTTGACCAACACATAAAAATTTTAAAAACTCATGGGCCAGAGAGGTAGTATAGCAGGTAGGGTGCTTGCCTTGTGTACACAGCCAATTCAGGTTCCCTCCCAAGCATCTCAGATGGTCTCTCTGAGCCCTGCTAGGATTCATCCCTGAGTGATGAAGAGAAAGCTTTGACCACTGCAGGGTGCCCCTGCCCCAAAAGTATTAATAATTTTGGGGCTGTAGATGCTCAAAGGGCTGTAGAGCATGCAGAAATTCTGAGTTCGACCCCCCAGTACAGCATAATCCCAAACACAAGAGTGCAAAACCCCAAAATAAATAATAAATCAGATAATCAATAAAAACATCTAATGGAATATATAAGCTTCTTATTTACCAGTTGCCTCAATAAGCAGCACCTCTGGGTGTCTAAAAGCTAGGTAAGTAGATGTCAGCTTAGAATATATCTCATATTATGACTCATGTTATGATTTTACTTTTAATTTTTTAAAAAAATTACCTGATTTACAAACAGGGTGGTCACAAATTTTCCTGGCTTGAAGACTTCCACCACTTTCCTAATCAGGTCATCATAGGAGGTCTGACTTAAGTTTGTTTCAAAGCTAACATAAGAAAATTCTGGTTCTGGAGTGATGTGAATAGTCCAATAAGTTCCCTGAGAGAAATAATATTGTGTTATTACTGGAAAGGGTCCATTTATTTAAGAATTTTTTAAGAAAAATCTAACTTACATCTGATTTCATTCCATTCATTGAATACCCACAAGGATTGAACAGTGTGGCATCAATGACAGAACCTGGTATCAGGTCACAAATTCCACTCTCCTGGAAGACAAGGGGGGTGGGGGCGCGTGGTGGAGAATTAACAAATTTGGAAAACTGTAGAAGAAGAATGTAGAACTGCTATGGGCAATACTTACACGAGTGACATCCTTTGCAGTAACACCATCTTTCATGTAGAACTGGTCCATAACTGCTGGGTCAAGCTCACTCATCAGAATTTCCAGGGTTTGATCTGGCTGACTGATTACCCGACTCTCTGGGAAATCCAAAGTATATAAGTACCTACATAAAAGGAGAAATTCGTTTGGAAAAATTTTTTTTTTAACTTTGAGTAAAGCTATAATAACAAAGATTCATAAAACTGGGCAGGAATGATAGCACAGTGGGTAGGGTAGTACATTTGCTTTGCTCATGGTAGGCCCAAGTTTAATCCCTTAGTGCAGAGAGCCAAGAGTAAATCCTGAGGTACAGCTCTGTAGAAAAAAAAAAAACAACAAAACACCAAAGATACATAAAGCTGAATCCAACCTACCAACAGTCAGAATTCATGCGTCCCATACAATATGCTGCTCCATCTGTTTGAGGGAAGAGAATGCAATAAATGTTAAGAGGTTCATTTGATAAAGTGTCTTATTTCTACTATTATAGATAGAATGTTACTATCTGACTCCTATCATAAATTAGGAAAAGGATTTTTCTTTTCTCCCCTTATCATCTAAGAAAAGTTTTATTGGCCTATCTTTTATAGCTATTTTAGTCAAGGGGCTGGAGAGATATTACAGAGGGCAGGACACTTGCCTTCCATGTCACAAGGCCAGTACTTGATCCCTGGAACGACATAAGGTTTCCCAAGCCCTCCAGGAGTGATTACTGAGTGCAGAGCCAGGAATAACCCCTGAACACTGTAAAGCATGGTCCAAAAAACAAAAACAAAAAATATAAGGAGCTTGCCTGGCAGGCAGCTATAAGCTGGGTTTAATCCACCCTCCTGTAGTGATCCAAGAGTGCAGAGCATTAAGCCTTGAACACACCTGATGCAACCCAAAAGACAAAATAAAATCACGTAACTTTGCGTCAAGTTACTAAATCATTCTAGGTATCTATAAAATGTTAAGAGGACTTAAAATTTAATCTAAAACACAATGCACTGTAGCACTGTCCTCCCGTTGTTCATCGATTTGCTTGAGCAGGCCCAGAAACGCCTCCGTTGTGAGATTTGTTGTTACTGTGTTTGGCATATCGAATGCGTCATGGGGAGCTTGCCTGTCTTTGCCGTGCCGGCGAGATACTCTTGGTAGCTTGCCGGGCTCTCTGAGAGGGGTGGAGATATAGAACTCAGATTGGCCAAGTTGGCCATGTGCAAGGCAAACGCCCTACCACTGTGCTATTGCTCCAGCACAATGCATTATTAGAAAATATTAGATAACCTCTAGTTCCCTTATCTTGAAGCTCAAAATGTTCTACAATTAGTAAAAAGAAAAATTTTCCAATTTGGTTCAATTGGCACTATGTTGATCACTTTAAAGTTGACTCAATTCTTATATAGAATGTTAGTTCGGATCTTAACACAAGTCTATGAAGTCATGGGCATTTTTCTGAATAAAGGAACCACATCCTTAACAGAAATCAAAATACAAATTAACAGCTGCGATAGCGGCTGCGCGACATCATCTGATTCTTGTAACCAGCTGTAGAAAACAAATTATTTCACAATGCCTTTTCAGCATGTCTGACTTGGGGGTGTAAACTCTAAATAATAATGGTGCATCTTTTGTCGAAACAATGAATCTAATCAAAGTAGATAGAGTGTTAACTAGAATTCATCTGCTTCACAGGCATTAGGAGGGTGGGGGGGGGAGGTTATTGGGTTCTTGGTGGTGAAAAAAAAGTATTGGTGAAGGGAAATGTGTTTGATAATTGCATGACCAAGACTTAAACCTGAAAGCTTTGTAACTTTTCCCACAGTGATTCAATAAATAAATTAAAAAAATATTAACTTGTCAATAGGTTTTACAGTTATAAATAAACTTTGGTTACGTGGGTAAAAAAAAAATAATACAAATTAAAGCAACTGGCTAGATACAGACAAAATCTCCCCTCTGGAAAGTAATCAATTTCTTGCTTTCTCTTATTTATGTGCCACCCTCAAACAAGTTCTGGGCTTCTCCTGGCAGTGGTCAGGCCATATACAGCAGAGTGCAAAGCAAGCACTTTAACCCATCTGCCATTTTTAACTTTTCTGGTAGCAATGACTTGAAGTACAGAAATAATTAAACATTGCAATATGCTACATTTTTACATATGTACATTCATATACATACATATGTACATATACACACCCATACACAGAAAAATAGGTCTCAATCCTGCATAATTTAAGTTGGGAATGGGTCAGAGAGATACAGCTGGTAGGGTGCTTGCCTTGGACGTGGTAACACAGCATAGCATCCATATGGTTCCCTGAGCCCTACCAGGAGTAATTCCTGAGTGCAGAGCCAGAAATAACACCTAACCATTGCCGGGTGTGGACCCAAAACACACGCAAAAAAAAAAACCACAGTAATAACAAGAAAAAGCTTACTTGGGAAAATTGCATTCAGAAACTCTATTTCTTCCTGGAAATTCCGGTGTGGGTACCCTTGGTGAGAAGGCTTCATGAAATTCTTACGAGAATAAAAGAAGCTCTAAAAAAGATGGAGAGTTAACTTAAAAAAAAAAAAAACTCTAAAGTTAACTTCACACATAAAATTTAAAATTTAATCATCTTCCTTAACAATTTTATGCTTATCAAAACTACAACTGTCCGTACAAATATTTCCCCAAAGATATTAACAATGCTTTCACTTTGACATCTTGAGTAGATGTTTTCCTGGCCAAATAAAGCAAAATGAAGGTCACCGTGTGAGAGGGCAAGATTTCTAATTATCTATGAGATGGCCTAAAGAACTACTTTTGTGCTGTAGAGAAGCATATTAAGATGTTTCAGAGGCAGTTCACAAACCTTCTAAGCACTAAATTCAATCCACAGCACTGCTCATGGTGTCTGGAGATAAAAGGGAGGAGGCCCTTGGGGGCAAGGAATTTGCCTCATTGTAGACTCAAACCTCATTTGTGTTTGTGTTTGTGTTTGTGTGTGTGTGTGGGGGGGGGGGGGCCTGCCGGCCAACATAGTACAGCAGGTAAGGTGCTTGCCTCATAAGTGACTGATGCAGATTTGGTTCCTGGCACTCCATAAGATTCCCCAAGTCCACCAGGAGTGATACCCGAGAACAGAGCAAGGAAGGAGCAAGTTGTATGGCCCAAAATATGAAAGTAAATGTTGAGTCCCTTTTGGTTTGAAGCCCAGCATTGTGGACCTGAGAAATACTTTTATGTCATTAAGTTTCATGTCCATGGTTACAGAGATATATTTACTGGGAATAATTCCCAAATACTGCTAGGTGTGACTCAAGATTCAGTAAGGTAAAAACACATTAGCAAAAATGCACATAAAAAACAAAATAAAAAAACAAAAACAAAAAAACAGCCCACTCAATGCCTCTTTTGCAAACCACAACACCCCAAAGGAGAGAACAAAAGGGAATGCCCTGCCACAGAGGCAGGGCGGGAGGGGGTGGGGGGGATACTAAGATCAGTGGTGGTGGAGAATGGGCACTGGTGGAGGAATGGGTACTCGATCACTGTATAACTGAAACCCAAGCACAAAAATTTGTAAGTCTACATACAACTGTACCCCATGGTGTTTCACTAATAAAAATTAAAAAACAAAAATCGTTCAAATAAAATTTGTAAAAATCGTATCTTTAAAAAAAAAAAGTAATTTTTTCCTAGTAGAACATGTGCATTTAGCTTAGAAATGTGGTCTATGGCCAGGGAGCTACCTTAAATGGTATCACACAGTCTCTTCCTTAAAAACACTTGCCACACCCTCCCAAATAAAATACATCATCTGTGGCTCAGAGGTTTGGAGCACATGTTTTGTACAGGGAAGTGCCAGTTTCAGCCCCCAGCCTTGCATGTTCCCCTGCCACTGAGCCCCACTAGATGTGACTACTCACCCACTCAAATAAAAATTGTTGCTCACAAAGACTTTGACATAAACGCTCTAATTCTTATTTCCTGTGACAATTTAGGACAATAGTGCCTTTTTTTTTTTCTTTTTCAACCTTTTTTTTCCTTTTTCTTTTTGCTTTTTGGGTCACACCCGGCAATGCACAGGTGTTATTCCTGGCTCTGCACTAAGGAATTACTCCTGGCAGTGCTCAGGGGACCATATGGGATGCTGGGAATCGAACCCGTGTCGGCCACTTGCAAGGCAAAGGCCCTATCGGTGGTGCTATCGTTCCAGCCCCCAACAATCAACCTTTCTTAAGTGTCTCTACCACTCATAGCAAATAATGAATTAACACAAGGTCTCTAAGTTTCTTCATTTCTTTGTTTCAACCCTACTCAATCCTCTGCTCTTTCCAAATTTTCCACTGTTCTTACGCAAAGGCAGAACATTCTTTCAAATGATAAGCATCCTACATTACCCCCCCAGCCAAAATCAAACCCATAAATTTGTACCTGATAATAAAGATGAGGAAAAAAATATTATACTTACTTGAATTGAGTCAAACCCACTGTAGTCCCTAGCAAGTTTCAACAGGGGAACCAGTGCTTTCAGCAAGAGGGTGGTACCACATGTCTTCAAAATGAAACGTCTCTTGGAGACAAACATGCTACTCTCACTGTGGTTAAAAAAAAAGTTACTCATGTATTATCGGACTATCATTCACAATGCAAACTTTTGTATTATCACTAGATATAAAACACAGCTCATTAAGAAACACACCTCCTTTACTATATTAAACTTTCCTTCCCACTGGTATGCTAGGACACTGTTACTAAATCTACACACTTTGTCCCATATCCTTAGCGCCCACTCACACTCCAGTTTTATAATCATCTTATTCTTTTAGTAAGTTACGTAAGAAATGGAATTGTTGATTTTATATCCCTAGGGCCTCACACATAAACTTCTGATAAACATCTGCATTTGCCAAAAACAGGGTACCATGCACCTTATTCAAAGTAATAGGCCCTTTAGAGTATCTATTATAAAGCACTGCATCTATAGTAGACCCACAAATACTCAACTGGGGAGGTTCACTTTCACCTAGAATTTCTTGTAAACACAACAGTACAGTATCTTATTTCACCACATAATCATAGTCACTGCATAATCATTTGGGGTGGGGGGCACACTTAGCGCTGCTCAGGGGACCACATTTGTGGAACTAGGGTTTTAACCAGTTTTATGGCTACTGGCACAATTTTTTCTTAAATTTCCTGTTTTTGGGGGGATCACACCAAGCAAGACTTACAGGTTACTCCTGGTGGTGCTCAGGGGACTATATTGGAATGCCAGGATCAAACCCAGGTTGGGCATGTGCAAGGCAAATACCCTACCAATTATGCCATCTTTCTGGCCCCTACAGGCACAATTTAAAAATCAAACCCAACTTTCACACAATACCAGCACCCCATATCATTGGAACTCGATACTATTTTTTGGTATAAAACCTGCAACTATCATGGAGTGAAATATAGCACTCTTTTGGAAAAAATGTGCACTACTAAATATTTTCCTGGGCTGAATTAGGGCACGAGGTAGGGCACCTGTTTTGCATGCAGTCAACTCTGGCCTGATCCTGAGCATAGGTGGTATGGCCACAAAAACAAACAAATCAAAACCAAAACCAGTTAGCTAAACAATGCTTGCTTTATAGGACTTACCTGAGTACATAAGCTTCCTGCTTGTCAGTTTTTGTCACACTTATGATTGAACATTGCACATCCTTCAAAAGTATGTCCCATTCGGATCTATTATTTAATAGTGACAACAAAAGATGATTAATTCAAAACAGCACTTGTCTACCCTCAAAAACAAAAACAGAACAAAACACCAAATTTAGTTTTCTTGGTGATTAAGACTGCATTCCTGGGAGCATAGAGATTAACTCAAAAGTTTAAAATGTCAGTCTTTGAAAGGTGAAGCTAAGAGTTGGAATCCCAGTGATGCTGTCCTGGCAAGTCAACTCTCTGGTATCACATGTGCAAAGAAGTTCCAGATACACTGCAGCCTGATGAGCAGTGTGTGCAATCACCTCGTGATCCCTAGCACGCAGTACAACCAAACCTGAGGAACCCCAGGTCACTGTGACAAGAGCAGCCAAGTGAAGGGGAAAAATAAAAAAGCAAACTAGAACAGAAAGCCATACAACTACAATTTACTTAGGGGAAAAAAATGAATAAACCACTTACAGATAACAATCAAAAGTTCTATAAACCAAAGAGAATCATTACTTCTCACTTATAAATGACTAAAGAAATACAAGTTGGGGCCTAAGTGATAGTACAGAGGGCAGTGTGCTTGCTTTGCTCGGGGTGACCCAGCTTTTCAATCCCCAGTAACATGTGGTATGGAGCCAGGAGCAGACCCCTTATTTCCTCTCTTTTCTTTCCTCATATATATCTTTTTATGTAAGTTTAATTAAAGAACTGTGGTCTACCAAGTAACTGTCTGAGTCTTGAGCATACCAATCCCAGACCAATGTGAACTTTCCTTCACCTGAATTCCCATGTCCCCTCCTACCCCCTCTTCTGTCACCTTGACAGGTAGATTGTAAAGTTCAGTGGCTGGGTCTATACTCTGGATATATAGCAATACCACTCACATCCCCCTCTCTTCCTTTTCCCTCACACTAAGTAAATTTTACTCAACAACCACTTTGTTGGACCAGAGTGGTAGTACAGCGGGGAGGGTTTTGCCTTGCACACAGCCAACTGGTGTCCAATCCCAGCATCCCATATGGTAACCCGAGCATTGCCAAGAGCAACTCCTGAAAACAGAGACAGGAGTAATCCCTGAGCATCACCAGATGTGACTAAAAAAAAAAAAAAAACAAACAAACCCTTGCTAAACACACACAGCCATCAAACTAAAAATTCCCACCAAAATCCATTCTCAACAAAGTAAAAATAGTCAGTACAGGCAATAACAAAATGGGAGTCAATGGAATCAATAATACAGCTTTACTGAGATCTAAGAAATTCTTTGGTGTGCCTTTTTAAATAGCTTCAGGGAGTCAGATATAGCATTATGGGTAGGCTGCTTGCTGTGCTTGTGGCAGAACCAGGTTTGATTTCTGAGCAGAGCCAGGAGTAAGCCCTGAGCACCAGCTAGTTGTGATCCAAATAAAACAAACAAAATTTCAGGGGACAGTTTAAATTCACCAGGTTAAAAGATAGTAATGTTTTATTGGGCTGGAGCGATAGCACAGCACGTCCCTCTCGGAGAGCCCGGCAAGCTACCTGAGAATATCCCTCCGCCTGCACAGCAGAGCCTGGCAAGCTCCCTGTGGAGTATTCGATATGCCAAAAACAGCAACAACTCTCACAATGGAGACATTAGTGGTGCCCGCTTGAGCAAATTGATGAACAATGGGACAACAGTGCTACAGTGCCATGTTTTAAGCTCTTGGTATTTGACAGGCAATTCTCTTGTAATACTGACAAAAAGCAGCTTAGATTTTATAAAAACAGTTACTATTTTTAAACCAGGGCTACAGATAGTACAGATAGTACAGAGAAAAGGGCATTTGCCTTGCACATGGCTAGCATGGGTTTAATCCCCAGTACCCCATGTCCTATTTTTCCTTTTAAAGTGTGTTCACCACCAAGTAAAGGATGTTTGGAGGACTCGCTCGGGATGCGAGATGCATGCTGAAAGTAGACTACAGACCAAACACAATGGCCACTCAAAACCTCTATTGCAAACTACAACACCCTAAAGGTAAGAGTGAGCAAAAGGGAATGTCCTGCCACAGAGGCGGGGAGGGGTAGGGGGGGATGGAGTGTGGGGTGGGAGGGCTACTGGGATCACTGGTGGTGGAGAATGGGCGCTGGTGGAGGGATAGGTACTTGATCATCATTTACCGTTCGTGATGCCTTGGACTAAACCGATGATCTCACATATGCAAAGCAACTGCTCTATTACTTAATTACATTCCCTACACCCTGCTCTTTCACTTCTGAGATCATAGCCTCTCTCTTCAAAAAGTATCCTCACCCCGGCCCCAACCCTCTGAATCTTAGTTATAGTTCTGGCTGCTTAACTGCTTGAGTGGAGAGGAATGGTTAAAGGTAAATAAATAAAAATCAGAGGGGACAGAAGAGATATTATAGTGGGCAGGATATTTGCCCTGCATGTGGTTAACCCACGTTCGATTACCAGTATCCCCTGAGCCTGCCAGAAATGATCCCCAAGCCCACCCACTCCCCAAAAGAAGAAAAAAAAATCAGAAACAAAATAAGGATTTCCCCAATATCTCTGACCCAGAGTTACCCTCCCCCCACCTCTTTTTCATCTTTGTACCTAGTGTGCAATTCTGTTTTGTTTTTGTTTTGTAGCATTTGACTTTCTCCAGAAAATACCAGAGGAAAAAATAAAATGGGAAATCACAACGATTTCAGTGGTTTTATTTAATATTAGTTTTTTTTTTTTTTTGCTTTTTGGGTCACACCCGGCGATGCTCAGGGGTTACTCCTGGCTCATGCACTCAGGAATTACTCCTGGCGGTGCTCGGGGGACCATATGGGATGCTGGGAATCGAACCTGGATCGGCCATGTTGGCTGCGTGTAAGGCAAACACCCTACCCGCTGTGCTATTGCTCCAGCCCCAATATTAGTTTTCTTTTCCAACTCACTGAACATTTACTTTTCAGGATTCTCAGGTGTTCCATGCATTGTTTTTGCTATTCCTTAAGAAGAGAGTATGCCTATTCAATGAGATGGAAACCAAGACTAAATTTGCACTCGCTCATTTATACCAAGTCTAGGGTTGCTTTTCACCCCAAGGCAGAATGGAGTAGATGAGTACAGACTTGCAAAAAGATTTTTCCCTCTGGCCCCTGACAAAATATTTGCTAGCTCCCATTTCAATGGAAAGGGTTTCGTTTTGGTGGTTATGCCACACCTGCGGAACTCAGCACAGAGATCCCTGACTAAGGGACCACTTAAGGTGGGGCTTAGGGGACCTAATGTGGTGCAGGGGACTGAACCTTGTCATCCAAGTGCAAGACAAGTGCCTTCCCCACTGTACTTTCTGGTCCCAAGAGGAACAGTTTTGAAGTATCCTACTTTGTTCCTAAACTTAAAGAAAAAGACAAAGACAAACCATTTTCTAAATGATTTGGAAGCGAAACAGCTACAAATTAGAAAGTCAGCAGCAGGCTCAACAATGAGGAAGGTATCTGCTATGTTCTAAAACTAGTAGGGTCTCCGTAAATAATAGTAAAGCAGGTAGGGCACTCGCAAAGCAAACAGCCAACCCAGGTTCTATCTTGGGCACCACATATGTTCCTGAGCCCATCAAACTGACCCTTGAGGACAGAACCAGTAGAAAACCCTGACCAGCAAAGCAGACCTGGCAACCTGGCACCCCAAATATACCAACACCTAGACTGAAAATTACTAGGCAAACAAGACAGACCTGGTAACTGAGGTGGGCTTTTTTTTGTTTTTGTTTTTGTTTTTAAAGGAAATAATGGAACTAAGAAGAAACGGCCTCATCCTAAGTAGCCCAAGGAAATGAGGATCACATCCCTTTGAGATGCTAAGAGTTAAGGCTTCTTAAGAACCTGGCTGGTCACCTGTTTATGATGAAAACTCTCAGCAAAATGGGCATCCAAGGAACTTTCCTCAATATAGTCAAAGCCATCTGCCACAAGCCCATGGCAAGTATCATTCTTAATGGGAAAAACTAAAAGCCTTCCCTCTAAGATCGGGCACAAGACAAGGTTGCCCACTTTCACCACTCTTATTCAATATAGTACTAAAGTCCTGGCCATAGCAGTTAGGTAAGAAAGATATCAAGGGCATAAAGATAGGAAAGGAAGAGGTCAAGCTATCACTATTTGCAGATGATATGATACTATACTTAGAAAACCCTAAAGACTCTACAGAAAAACTTCTAGAAACAATAGGTCGATATAGTAAAGTGGCAGGGTACAAAATCAACACGCGAAAGTCCATGGCTTTCTTATACACAAATAACGAAAGAGAAGAGACATTTAAAAAACAATCCTGTTCACAACTGTACCTCAGAAAATCAAGTATCTTGGAATCAGTCTAACCAAAGAGGTGAAGGACCTATACAAGGAAAACTACAAAACACTTCTTCAAGAAATAAAAAGAGGACACCAGGAAATGGAGACACATCCCCTGCTCATGGATACAGAGGATTAACATTATCAAAATGGCAATACTGCCCAAAGCACTATACAAACTTAATGCGGTCTCTGTCAGGATACCCATGACATTTTTCAAAGAAATAAACAAAACACTCCTGAAATTCATATGGAACCCCCAGTAGAAATGACAGCTGTACCTATGTGTTCATTGCAGCACTGTTCATAATAGCCAAAATCTGGAAACAACCCAAGTGCCCTAGAACAGACGACTGGTTAAAGAAATTTTGTTATATCTACACAATGGAATACTATGCAGCTATTAGCTATCACGAAATTTGCTTATATGTGGATAGACATGGCGAGTATCATGCTAAGTGAAATGAGTCAGAAAGAGGGACAGACGTAGGACTGCACTCATTTGTAGAGTATAGAATAACATAACATTAGGTTGACACCTAAGAACAGTAGACACAAGGGCTGGGAGACTGCCCCATAGCTGGAAGCCTGCCTCATGAGTGGAGGGGAGAATGCAGATGGAAGAGAAGGAATCACTAAGAAAATGATGGCTGGAGGAATCAGTCGGGATGGGAGATGTGTGCCGAAAGTAGATAATGGACCAAACATGATTG